TGGTAGGGAGACTGGACGGACCATTAGTGTTAGTGATCATAGAACTCCAGCTCCATACCAGACTGTGCATTGTTGAGGAGGCAGAGTGTGTCCGCCGCGCGCTGCGTGAGGCTAGGGGAACAGGACTTTGGATTGGAATAGAAGAAGGACGGAGGATAAAATACGTACTCCAAGTGACACCCTTCGAAGGGCGGTCTCGGATAAGGCCATGGTACGAGACGACCAGAGAGGCTGAGAGGTTGAAGATAAGCAAAGCCAGGAAAGCTGGAGAGTTAGGRAGAGTTGTAACAGATGGTGCAGTACTCAGGGTGTTAGCCGCTCACGACCGGTACTGGAAGGAATCGATAAAGACTTTAGAGGCGATAGACGATGGTGGAGATAAGGAGGACTTTGAGACATTTTATGACATATTGGAGCGGTCGGCGATGAGGTTACAAGTGGTTATAGCACTAACTTACCTCAGCTGTTAGACAAATGACTTTGTAGGCGTCTGGGAGATAAGGTAGTGGAAATAGAAATTGGAAGCTCTTGGAAGGATAGAGGAAGCTAGAAAGGTCGATGGGCGACATTGGATGGCAGTAGGAGGGCCTTTAGCGGGCTAACCGATTCAGGACAGGGCTAGGAGAACTAGCAAGGAGGACGGAGAGAGACGCTCGGAGACTCTTGAGGGGTGTTGAACATGAGACATTGGCTAGGTTAGGGACTGCGATCTGTCTCAAGGATAGAGGTCCTGTCACGGGTGTACTAAGATCCGGAGAGGCACGGCCTTGTTGGCCGATCCCGAAGGAGAGGTTTACTTAGACACAGGGATTCTTGGGATAGAGGGAGAACACAAGATCTGCGACCGGAACGGGATACAAGAAGTGGTAATCAAGGCAGTCGAGAGCTAAGATTGGAGGCAGACGCGAGCCGTGACAAGGAAACAGGTCCGGGCTGCCGCATCTGTCACAGGTGCGGGCTGGAACGACTGTCATAGGGTCGGGATGTAACAGTTGGCAATAATACCTAACTGCGTCTTCTGGCGGTCCAATGGAACCCGACACGATGGGGCCACAACCGACCACGGGCGAAGTGGGAGAGGAGTACAGGACATTACCCGATCGAGCTCTGAGGGATCTGAAGGAACGAATTAGGCAAGAAACACCGCTGAGATGGGCTGACCAAAGCAATGACGGACGGCCCGACGTAAGAGGCGAACCAGTTGCGACAGAGCCGCAGGAGGCTCTAAAGACGGGTACCTCTAGCGGACGACGAGAAGCGACGAGGCGACGAGGCGACGCTCCCCCGAGTACGAGCGGAGGGACACCATAGCGGACAGGCACAGAGACGACTGGAGAGAGAGTTTGAGCGATTCCTATTGGAGGGACAGAGATAGAGACAGGGCGTCGCCCAGGCGAGTCTTCGACCCCCAAACAGGGGAGTCACATCCGCTCCCTTACGAGAGGAAGGATCGCTATATTATTACGCACAAGGCCTCAGAGCCTCCTACCTTCAGGGGCTATGGTATCACAGAATATCTGGAGAAGTGGGAGCTTCACGCCAGCCGGAGTCAGTGGTCGGAGGAAGAGATTATAGAGAACTTCCTATTTAATGTGGACCCAAGTCTCGGTAGGGAAGTTAAGGAAACTTGACCGAAGGATGGAAAATGGACTACTTACAAGAAGAACCTCGTTGAGCTTTACAAATTGGAGGATAATAAGTATTCCATCAAGGACCTTGAAACAATGACTCAAGATCAAGATGAGAGCGTACGGACATTTGGGATGCGTTTCCAGAAGATCTCTGACGTGCTGATGAAGAAGGGGAAAATCTCAGAGGTCGAGCGCTGTACTATCTCCATCGGACACTTGTCCAAAGGTAGGCAAAAGAGTATACTTAGAGATCTTCCGCGCGACAGGCTTGATTTCCCAGAAGTCCTAACGCTCGTGATAAAGGCAGAGGCAGACGATTACAAGGACTTGGTGTGGAGAGGGATGAGGAGACATGACTTCTCTCTCTACAAGGAGTATGCCACGGATAGATGTCCTGATTTAAAGGACTATCCCTGGTCGGAGAAGAATGAGGCCGTGGCTGAGGAAGTGAAGCAGATACGAGACATGGTGAAGGGATTGACGAGACAGGTTACAGAGATTGTAACCACTACAGGGGCCACGGCCTACCGGGACAAACCTAGAGGACCCTATTCACTTCGCTGGGACCGTAGGAACAACGATCCCTGGAGGAGTGTCGAGGATAGAAATCCTCGGATGCTGACTGATTATCGTACGAGGGAAAGAGAGAGAGGCGATGAGCCATTGCGACGTAGGAACGATGAGATAGATCGAGACCGCAGAGATCGCGAGCCGTTTGCGCGAGCGAGGAGGCTGGATGATTACCCGCGAAGCCCTCTCTATGAGGCCGATCGGGGTAGAGGCGACTCCCGCGGCCGATGGGAGACAGATCAGGGCCGACGAGATGGATATAGGGACGACAGATACGAGAGATCAGACCGAGATGAATATAGGGACGACAGATACGCGAGGTCAGGTCGAGACGGCTACAGAGGTGGTAGGTATGAAAGAGGAGATCGGGACTGGGAACGACGAGATGGGTCGCGCGGACGGTTTGAGCGCAGGGGAGATGCGAGAGAGCAGCGCGACGAGTCGCGGGGTTGTACAGCCGAGGGGACCGACGCGACGAGTCACGAGGGCGATATGACTCAAGGGACTGCCGGAATGATTCGTGAGGGCGGTATGAGCAAGGAGGGTCTGGAGGAGACCGCCGCAACGATTCGCGCGGTCGGAATGAGAGAGGAGGATATGGCGTCTCATCAGAACCATATTCCAAGTCGCCTGACCCCAAGGCAGCCAGGAGTTCGATCTCTAGAAGCGCAGACGACAGGCCATCTACTCCCAGGAACTCATGCGTCTACTGTAGAGGAGAAGATCATATCAAGAGGGATTGCCCGGACCTTAAACGGGCAAAAGATGAGGGACTTGTCGTGCTTGACGACCGCAAGTACGTCAAGTGGGCAGATGGTCTAGGAGATGTATCGATGTTCCCTTCGATGAAGGGGAATGTCGAAGCGAGGAGAGTAAAGTCGAGTAAAGAAAAGGAGCCGGTAAGGAGCCAGAGCATCAAGATAACCTTTGAGGGGGATATGGCGACCACACCCATAAGGGTGGCAGCCATTAAGTCGGCGAGAGGGTCTACATCGAAGAAGACTGATACGGATTACGTGATGATGGAGAAGGACGGGCAGCGGGTCGATGGAGAGGAGGTTATCCTTTCGCCGCGAAAGAGGGGAGTGAAGAAGTTCTTAATGAAGAGTTCGCTGGACGAGATTGACACGGTCGAGCCACTGAGGCGGGCCCTTCGGCAACCCATGCAGTGCTCTATTCTGGAGTACCTGGCGGCATCGAAGCCGGCTCGTGATGAGTTACAGATGATCACGTGGAAGACTCGCATACCTCTATCGGAGGAGGGTCAGGGGGCCCCTAAGGCGGAAGCTCCTACAGTAGCAGTAACGGGGGTGACTGCCAGAGCGGATTGCATGGCGACAGTCCTTCTCGATGAAATGGAAGGTGTGCCTCCAGACAAGTTTTATACACTTGGTAGCGGGGTCGTGGAGACGATTATAAACGATGGAGCGGTACTCGATGCTGTGATCGATAACGGCAGTGAGGCTGTCATCATAGACGAGGACCTGGCAGTACAGGTTGGACTAGGCCTCGATAGGTCATACCTATTCGAGATAGAGACGGCTGATGGGAGAAAGCAACAGATCACTGGGGTTTGTCACAAGGCAGCTATAGAGGTCCAAGGGGTACGAGTGACCGTGCCTGTCTTTGCAGTCAAGAACTGCAGCTCCGACCTGCTCTTGGGTCGAACGTGGCTGAGCCACGTGCATGCGGTGACGATAGAGCGACCTGATGGGAGCCAAACATTGTCCATTAGGAAGCCAGACGGGACGTGGGTAATGATTGAGACGGTGGAGCCTCGGGACCCAAGGAACAGAGCAGCTCTCGCTGTGGGCGCGAGACCCAGTGATCAGATTAAGTCGTTACCTATCTCCGGTCGCGCGGTGCGATTTCGCGAGAAGAAATATGGACCACTGCTCACAGAGGAAGAAGGTTGGATCGTGGAGGTGAAAGATTTAGGGAGTCGGCTAATAGTGGATGGCAACTCGTACCTAAAGGAAAAAGATGAGGAATTTGGCGGTGTGGTATCCGTGTCTTTTTTAAGGGCACGGCCCCCTATGGGGGGCTACCCAAGCGACACAAGCGAGTAGCTCAAAAAGTTAAGCCAGCGGCAGTGGGCCGCGAGCGATCTGCACTGGAAGGGATATCGAAAAAAGAGATCGCGAAAGAAATCAAAGAAAGAAAGAAAAACGAGCCGCAACGCCTAACGGAAGAGAGGATAGCAGGGATGGACATCGAAGATGGGAATTTGAACCCACAGGAGCGAGAACGTGTGATAGAAATCCTAAAGACATGTGATAAGGCCATAGCTTTTAGTGACGCGGAGCGCGGTAGGGTTG